AACATGTTGGTTAACCTTATTCTGAAATGCGGAAAAAAATCATTGGCTTATCAAATTATCTATCGATCCGTGAAAAATATTCAAAAAAAGACAGAAACAAATCCACTATCCATTTTACGTCAAGCAATACGTGGAGTAACTCCTGATATAACAGTAAAAGCAAGACGTGTAGGTGGATCGACTCATCAAGTTCCCATTGAAATAGGATCCACACAAGGAAAAGCAGTTGCCATTCGTTGGTTATTAGAGGCATCCCGAAAACGTCCGGGCCAAAATATGGCTTTCAAATTAAGTTCCGAATTAGTGGATGCTTCCAAAGGGAGTGGCGATGCCATACCAAAAAGGAAGAGACTCATAGAATGGCAGAGGCAAATAAAGCTTTTGCACATTTTTGTTAATCCATGAACAAGATCTATACATCTCGATCGGAAAAGAATCAAGAGAAAAAGAAAGAACCGGAATTGATCGATAGATTTCTCGAAACAAATGAAAAGGAAAGGAAAGATGAAACATAAATCATGGATCAACTAAGCCCTCTCGAGGACTTTCTTAAAGAGTAACCTCATGTAAATACCATGGAATAAGGTTTGATCCTATTCATGGAGATTCCGTAACTATTCCAAAAATGGAAAGTTCAACACAATTGGGATTTTTTTTTGGAAATTGGAAGCAGTTACTAATTCATGATTGATGAGCCCGCAAGTGTACGGGTCGTACAAGTAATAAAGTGGCTCTTTTGAAGAACCGGATTGTCGAACCCACAGGAATAGGAATACGGGGTGCTGGCATGTACAAAATGAAACTTCATTCTCGATTCTACGAAATTTTATGAAAAGCCTTTCATTGCTTCTCTTCGATGGAAGTTTTGATTTTCCAGAATGTATCTAATTTTTGGCCTAATTCTTCTTCTTTTGGCCTAATTCTTCTTCTGATGATCGATTCAACCTTTGATCAAAAAGATATACCTTGGTTATATTTCATCTCTTCAACAAGTTTAGTAATGAGTATAATGGCCCTATTGTTCCGATGGAGTGAAGAACCTAGGATTAGCTTTTCGAGAAATTTCCAAACGAACAATTTCAACGAAATCTTTCAATTTCTTATTTTACTATGTTCAACTCTATCTATTCCTCTATCCGTAGAGTACATTGAATGTGCAGAAATGTCTATAACGGAGTTTCTCTTATTCGTATTAAAAACTACTCTAGGGGGAATGTTTTTATGCGGTGCTAATGATTTAATAACTATCTTTGTAGCCCCAGAATGTTTCAGTTTATGCTCCTACCTATTATCTGGATATACCAAGAAAGATGTACGGTCTAATGAGGATACTACAAGAAAGATGTACGGTCAACAGCTACTAAGAAATATCATTTACTCATGGGTGGGGCAAGCTCTCTTATATTCTGGTTCATGGTTTCTCTTGCAGCTATATATGGTTCATCCGGGTAAGAGATTGAGTCAAGAAATAGTAAATGTTCTTATAAATACACAAATGTATAACCTCCCAGGAATTTCAATTGCGCTCATATTCATTACCGTAGGAATTGTGTTCAAGCTTTCCCCAGCCCCTTCTCATCACCTGTGGACTCCTGACGTATACGAAGGAGTGCGTTCGTTCGAGAAATTCTACCTCTCTATCTATATTCCTGAGATGTTTGGATTTTTCTTTTAAAACCCATGGACATGCAGGAAGAGAAATGCTATCTCACTCGGACCAAGACAGAACTTTTACTTGTTCAAATAACAATTAAGGTGAAGTAGGGTCAGGAACGACGAATCTCTTTATGATAAACAGATCCATTTTGCAAGTTCGTTATTACGGGTAGTTCCTACAAAGGATCGGACTAATGACGTATACAATACTTGAATTCTCTTTTGTTTTAGATGTGCATAGTTGGTTCTCATCCTTCAGAGACTACGAGTGTAATAAGAGCATCCGTCGACAAAAGGATCACCCTAAGATGATCATCTCGTGGCTATTGAGAACGAATTAAATCAGATGGTTCTATTTCTCAATCTTTCTGACTTGCTCCTACGAAACCAAGGTCGAAAGATTGAAAATCAGTCATTCACAACTATGATGAAGGATTCCTCGAAAAGTTAAGGATTATTAATCCTTTTTAGAAATGGATTTGGTCTTATACATATTTAGGAAGGTAATCAAAAAGAAAGAAAATGGGTTCTTCTTCTTTATCACTTGTTTTGAGATGAAAGTCTCATGCACGGTTTGAATGAGAGAAAGAAGGAGGAACTTTTCGACTCCTACCTCCCACTCCAGTCGTTGCTTTTCTTTCTGTTACTTCGAAAGTAGCTGCTTCCAGCTTCAGCCACTGAATTTTCGATATTCCTTTTATTTCACTAAAATGGAATGGCATCTTCTTCTGAAATCCTAGTCATTCTTAGCATGATATTGGGAAATCTCATTGCTATTACTCAAACAAGCATGAAACGTATGCTTGCATATTCGTCCATAGGCCAAATCGGATATGTAATTATT